AGGAGTGTCCCAGAAGCAATAGCCACACACGTGCTTTCCCAGCTCCCTTTGGGTCAGTGGCACCAGCAAAAGCGACGGTCTGGGCACTGCTGCTGGCTGCCTAGCACTGAGCTGTCTGTGGGCTTTTAAATACCCTTCTGATCAACTCCCTTCTCCTTTCCACTGGGCCTGTTTCTGTTGCTTGCCGCCCGGAGTCCTGCCTGACACACGGGATTCACCACCCTGAGAAGCACCAGAGGGCACCGTGAGACTTCCACACTCATTTATGAGACTTCCTATCTCTTCAGAAAAGTTAAGAAGTGAAACTTCCAGTATCAGAGTGCAGAAGTTTCCTGCCCAAACACCAAGCACGACCCTGATGGCCAGGCCTGGGGAAGGAGCCCTCCCTTAGAAACCAGTCTGTGGGAGGCCGTGGGCCGGATAAACCAACCCTGGAACTGGGTGTCAGAAGCTTTTCCCACACACCTTCGTTCCGGTTCTTCGGGGTGAGATGGCGTGAGGATCGGTAGCTGAGGGTTAACAGACCCTTGGAGCCCACGCTAAGCCTGGTGGGGGCGGAGCACCCCCGGTGGTAGGTAAGGGCAGTAAGGAGTTCAGAGGGGAAAAGAAAGGCAAAGAGCAGGAGTTACATTAACCCACTTCTCCCTCGAAAGCAATCGACGGGGATTCCTTGTCGAGTCAGAAAGGAAAGTCCTGTTTCCCTTGCTCCGCACACTGTGGGCTGCCTCACCCCAGGGCTGGGGTGCGGGTGGAGGGTTGGGGGGGGGCTCAGGCCTGTCTCTTCACGCAGCCCCCCCAGGCCCCTGTGCCTGACTACTCCCCGTCAGCAGGAAACCTGGCTTTCTCCTGCCCCTGGACGCTTTCCCATCTTGTCCCACCAGTGAGAGGTGGGGCCGAGAGAAGGGCTAATAGTGCTAGTAAAACAGATCTGGCCCCGGGGCCTCTCAGGCAAGGGCTTCTCCAGAAATGAGACCTATCCACTTGCCATCTGCTCCTAGGACACTCCTGGGTGTGATAAGAGGCCCCGTGTCCCACGTCAGGAGCAGCGTGACCATGCAGAAAGCCCGGTGTGATGTCTGATTGCAGCAAAACAGGCTGCCTGGGCCTCTGAGTAGCCACAGGCAGTGCAGGCCACCAAACGGAGCAGCCGGAAACCACCTCTCAGCCCACCGGGCTGCAGTGCAGAGGCCCAGCTTCTGGGGAGGAGCCCAGGGAGCAGGACAGGGTAGGCTGTGCTCTGTGGGATGCGCTGTCTGCAAGACAAGGAACAGAGTCAGAATAACTCACTGTACATGAAGTGGGATGTTTAACTCAAGCTCCTGGGACAAACTGTACAGGTGTGTACGATGCATCGCATTTGGCGTGAGTGGTCCTGCCTACCCTCTAGTCACTCCCTTCTTTCCTGGCAGGGGGACCCCAGGCTTTAGGTATCTGGGGAAGATGCCGAGGCCCAAAGGATAAGTCATATGGGTCCTTTGCAGGCAGGTTTCTTAGGTTTTGTGCAGCCTGGGCTACTGGTGGGTGCTAAGGCTCCCACACGTCCCCAAGTCCCCCGTGACCCAGCTTGTGCAGCAGGCCTTTCCTCCCAGAGCTTTTGGCTCTGTCCTCTCTGATCACCTCCTCTCAGGACAATTTTACATATTTTCAAGAGAGAAGAGAAAGGCAAGTCAGTCTTTTCCCCAGCATGCTTTATAAAAATCTCATTATTAAGACTTGAGAAAATTCTCTCAGCTTCACAGCTTGCTACTGGTAATGTAAAATTTTAGAGCTGTTGTCAGATCTTGGAAAACCTTTGCCAGGTTCATCCTAGACCCACACTCTGGCACTATGAAGGCCTCCCACACCTGCCCCTCATTTCTCCTGGGCACCACATACCTCAGGTGGCACAGGCCACACTCTGTGATGGCCTTGGGCCTGCGCCTTATGTCCCAGGCATCTGAGCTGGCACGGGTGGTGCTAGTGTCCGTGGGAGCTGCTCCTCATTGGGATCGCCACGTGTCCTGACTACTCTAGAGTGACGGCGGGCCAGCGCAGGGCCCCCTCAGCCAGACCCTGGAACACCCACGCTGCCCTGCCCCAGTGGGTAGGAGAGCACGGAGACTTATCTTTGCTGGTGGCAATCAAAATCTACAAATTTTACAAAAATGAATGACCAAGGGATTCACGGCCTCTCCCCTGGGCCCTGGAAGGGGCTTGGCAGTGAAAGGCCCTGAAGCTCAAGCCTCCTAACATCCTGGTGAATCCACCCTGGTCATAGCCCACAGGGCAGCAGGGTCTCCACTCTCCCATAGCCTGGCTCTTCCCACAGTGGAAGGGCAGATGGCTGTCCCTTTCCTTCTTGGACGGTGTCAGCAAAGCCTAGGTGGGGCAGCCTTCTTGAACCTCTGAGAAGAAAGCCAGAAGAACGTCTGTGACACTGTGGAGTGGCAGAGTTAGCCAGTTTTCTGGGTTTCCGAGCCTGAGGCCGTCAGTTTTCTTCCTTTGGATATCCTGCTGATTGAAGCAGCAGGCACCTGCCTGGCACAGACACTGGGAGACCCAACCAGCCAACCCTGGTAGTGCCTCCAGTGTCAGCCCTGCCACTGGACATGCAGCTGGGGCCTGCAGTGAGGGGCAAGGCTGAGTGGCCTTCAGGGGCTTTAGCTGTGCATTTTCATCAGAGCCCGTTTTAGATGGACCCCTACTTCTTTGAACTTTTTTCAGAAACTGAAAGACTGAAAGAACCCACATATCTAGACTTTCCCCAGATCCAAGGCACTTGGATGAAAACTGAATCCCTCAGCGGCCTGACTTTTCTGCCCTGACTGTGCTCTTTTCTGTTGGCTGGGCCTGGGCTTGCTCAGGAGCCGAGGACACAGGCTTCTGTCTCGGGTTTTCAAGGGGAGAGTGTGACTCCCCACCCTTCCCCGGTGCACTGCCCCTCCCAGAGAGATGGAATGGGTGGCTCCGTCTAAAGGCGTGAGCTGCCCATCCATGCTGCTTTCCTTGGCTTGCAATGTAGCCTTCCTGCTGGTGTCAGCACCTTTATCGAGGTGGGAAAGGGCGAGGGAAGGAGATAGAATCAGTAAACAGACCGGTGCCTAGTATCTCTGGATGAAAGTCCTCAGGAGGGTTCACTCCAAACAAAGGGACTGCTGGCTGCTGGGAGTTCATGGGAATGGAGACCCGCTTTGCCAGCTCTGTCTGCTCAGTTGCCAACTCAAATGTCCAAGGCTTGGGAGAACTTAGGGGCTCTGTAAAGGAATAGAGAGATACTACAAAAAGGCGGGGGATGGCCAAAACAGGAAAGAGTCTTCCAGAAATGCACCTTCAAGACCTGAGGTGGATGACCCCCTTGTTTCCATTGTTTGCTGTGAAATACAGCGTGGACGGGTGTCCAGGTGGAGGCACCCCCGCCCCACAGGGAGGTCAGTCCCAGGGGCACCTGCCTCAGGGGTCACTCGCTACCACACTGACCCCTTCCTCATGCCTGCAGGGGCTGGTCACAGCTTCCACGGCTCAAGCCGCACAGTCTGCCCAGGGCCTAGGTAGCTGCTATGGAGAGAACATGGGAGAGAACAGGGGGAGTGCATGTTACCAGGACGGTGGGGGGAGAAGAGAAAAAGAAGCAG